GACCTCCAGAGCTGCATCTCTGCAGAGCAGGTCTGCAACGGGCACCCTGACTGTGTCGACGGCTCTGATGAGTCTGACTGTAAGTGCCTGCCCGTGGCTGAGGGTGCAGGGGTCCTGGCTGGGCACAAGGAGGGCCTACCCAGTCTCCCCCAGTTTAGGAAGGGGGAGCGGTCTCACCTAGGGTTCTGCTGATCTATTCCCCCTATCCATCCAGGAGGTGGGGACTCGGGTCCCTATGGTGGCAACATCAGTAATGTCCCACTTGGAAGAACAGAAACCAGCCTTACCCACAGCTGCACCCAAGACTTATCAGCCCGGCCCCAGCCTGCCCACAGCCCCTGGCCCCCAGAAGCAAGGAGAGCCCTTCCTGGTACCCCCCAGCACTGAGGAGGTGCTGGGGGCCGTGCCATGCAGCAGCGAGACGTGCAACCTGCGTGGGGAGTGCGCCATCGAGGCTGGGCGAGTGACGTGCCACTGCGCCCTGGGCTACCGTGGTGACTACTGTGAGGAGGCAGAGGGAGGACCTATTGCCCTGGGGGTGGCCGTGCTCCTGCTTCTCGCTGCCGCTGCTGTGGGGGCCCTGGCCTACATGCGGAGGCGGGACAGGCGGAGGAGGTGAGCTGCGGGGCTGAGCTGGGCCAGGTACAAACCAGGGATGGAAAGGGACAGGGTCTCCCTGCCCAGGTACGTCATGGTGTCCTGGGGCACTCCTTGGTTATGTGGAAAGCTCAGATGACCCCAACAGACTGTTACCAGGAGTTGTGGTAGGACCTTTGGATCTGCCCCAGCTCTAGGAGATGACCATGCCATCCCCAATGTACATTTTTCCTCCTCAGGACTTCAAGCACTGCATCCACCCGAGTGCTGACCTTGTACCACCGTGAAAGCGACCCCGAGGAAGAGGATGAAGAGGAGGAAGAGCTTCCCCCCAAGAGTGATACCTTTGTGAATGAAGCTTATGATGGGAAAGAGGTGAGCAGCATCTGGAGCAGGCCCTGGGAGAAATTCCCCATCACTGTGGGGTACCCTGAGGCCCCTCCTCAATATGCAGATCCCTCCCCAGGCCCAGTGCTGGCATAGTGCCCACTCTTGAGGCA